ACCCTGGAGTCAGGCTCTGCCTCTTATTCCAAGGCTTGGTAAGACACAACTGCCTGAATCTTTGTCTCCGTATCTTTAAAATAGGGATAACTGTACCTGTTTTAAGCAACTCTTGGGGTTGTTGTGAAAAAGAAATGGGTTGGTATGAAATTGCTCTGTAACTGTGCTGTCCAGTAGAAATATAATGTGAGCCACAGAAATTATTTAAATTTTTGTAAGCCACATTAAATGCGAGTAAGAAATGTTCTGTGAACTTAATTTTAATGATCTATTTTATTCAACCCAACATAAGCAAAATATTATTATTTCAACAAATGATCAATTGGGAGAAATTCTTAAGGAGATTTTTTACATTTTTTAATACTAAGTTTTTTAATCCAATATATTTTACAGTTACAGCACATCTCAATCTGGATGTTAAATTTTAATCAAAAATATTTGACATATATTTAGATTATTCATCATCTATAATTAAGTAGATTTATATCTCCCAATTTTTCCCAAACTGAAAAAGTTTTCCAGTAATTGAATCAAGTAGTGGGTTTTTTTTTCCTGTATATGTATATTTTTATTGAAGAACAGTCAGTTTACAAAAGTAGTGGTTTTTAAGTTGGTTAAAGTTACATAAAGCTGAATTCCTTAGTCACATCAGCCACATTTCAAGTCTTTAATAGACATATGCAGCTAGTGGTTACCATATTGGATCGCACCACTACATAAACTGTTGAGTTCTACATACCTGAGCTTTTACAGAAGTTTCTGAATCTCAGTTGGATGTTACACTGTTTCAGTTTGGGACTCCACGTTAGAGAAATGAATTTCCTTTGCTTTGACCTGCAGAAGAATTTCCCAAGGAAGACCTCTTAGCTTTCCTGACAACTGGGCAAGAGATTGCTTCCATTTCAGTAATCAGAAATTTATTTTGTCTAAGAGTCACTACACATTCTGGGAAATAAATACATCTCTAAGTGTGGAGAAAAGATGACCAAAATAGACTGTTTTTAAAGAGCTGAAAAATCGATTCCTGGCAGTAATGCAGTCTGGAATACACAAAACCATTAGCGCAGGGAACCCACAGCGAGGTCAGGATCTATTCTGAGCTGTGGAGAATCAAGCTCCCACGTGACTTCAGTGCATTATCAAGAACGGACTATGCTTCCGGGTAAGGCCAAAACCATCATCTCGGGGTGAGGAGCATCACACGGGGTCACCGCAGGTGCCTGGGATCTGCTGGCAGAGGTGAGTCAGGGCATCGGGGCAACGGTAATGAACACTCTCCCAAGCTTCTTTTTTCATGAATTTATCACACAATTTGGTACAAAGACACTTCTCTCCTTATTTGAGTAACCAACTAGGAACCCTTCACTATTGTCCTCTGCCTCTGCAGAGAGTCTTTGATTGGAAAGAACCTACTGTGTTGAGTCAGACAGGACTGTTTTAAAGAACATTTATCTAGCATTTACCGTGTCTCAGACATTGTTCTAGGCACTTTACTTATATTAACTAATTTAATTCTCACAACAAATGTATGAGATAGACAGTGTTATAACGTCCACTTTGCAGACGAGGAAATGGAGGCAGAGAAAGCTTAAATAACTTGCACAAAGTCATACTGCTCAGAAGTGATGGGGAAGAGATATGAACCCAGACAGTCTAGGTTTCTGACCAGTCAGTAAACTGTTGTGCTACTACTGGATGTGGATCAGAGGCTAGACTTCTGAGCCCAGCCCCAAGTGCCAAACCTTGCACCCAGTCATGAGAAGTGCAGATGCCACCTTCCCAAATGAGCTAGTGAAATCAGAAGGGAGCTCGGAAACCCACCTGCCTCTCCAGCTGTGTCCTGCTGTTCTAGCCTGCTCTCCATCTCCATGGCCTCTATCATGAGTCCAACTTGTCTTTCAAGGCTCAGAACAAACCTCCACTAGGTTTCTTAAATCTCTAGAGTCAACATTAGCCCCATTCTCATCTCTTCCAGCCTTTTAGTGTCTAATCTCTATTGCAGTTTTCCAAAAGCTGCCTTGAAGTACAGAGCCGTCTCTCTCTCTTCTCCTTGGCTGTGAGCCCCTAGAGGATGGAAGTTCATCTTATTCATTTTTGTATCCCCCACAGCACCTAGCATGAAGCCTCTTGCCTCCTAGCTCTCAGTGAATATTCATTACGAATTTATTACTCTTAAAGATTTCTAATTTGAATGGAAGTATGCTTTATTGGACAAGGCACTGCAGTGGGTTTCATGAAACTTGAATTCCAAGCTTGGTTCTGTCACCAAGTAACTATATACATTTGGGCAATTTATTTCACCTCCCTGAGCCTTCGATGTCTCGTCTGTAATTGGATGAGATCATCTCTAAGGCCTCATGACATTTATGGAATAGGCTATTATTTGCTCTGAATTTATGGACACAAAAGGTTTTAAACAAGTCCCTGAAGGGTGTTTCATAAATTCTGAGATCGCCCCTGGGCTACTGGGGTGAGGTGCTTCTAAACACAAACGCATGAGAGGGGTCAGCAGAAGAAATCCCTCCAGAGAGGCCAAGGCTGGCTGGCTGCTTGTGCTTGAAAATTCCAGCCTGGTTAAAAGCCTGGATCTTTCAGGAAAGGGCACCACATAAAGGAGTGGCTATGGTAGAAGACAAACAGGGAACAGAAGAGATGGTTCTGTCCTCAGTGCGCCTAATATGTAGGAGGAATCACAGGCTAGCCAGGTTTCCCTTAGGAACCCTCTGGAAATAGCGTGCAGAAAAGAGGAAGACATGTCCAGGGGATGAGGCAGTCAGAAAGCAGAAGGTAACACGTGTCGGTGAGAATGCGGGGAGATTGGAACCCTTTAACACTGTTGGTAGGAATGTAAGTAGTCCAGTTACTATGAGAACAGCATGGAAGTTCCCTAAATAATTAAAAATACAACTACCATAGGATCCAGCAATCCCACTTTTGGGTATATGCCCCCCAAGATTGAAACCAGGATTTTTTTTTGTATGTATGTATTTTTATTAAAGTATAGTCAGTTTATAATGTGAAATCAGGATCTTGAAGAGTTCTCTGCACTCCCCTGTCCATCACAGCACTAGTCACAATAGCCGAGACACAGAAACAACTCAGATGAATGGCTCAAGAAATTATGGGTGTATATATATATATATAAGAAATTATGGGTATATATATATATATACACACACACACACACACACACACAATGGAATATTATTCAGCCTTTTAAAAAAGGAAATCCTGCCATTTTCAACAACACAGATGAGCCTGGGGGACATCATGCTAAGGGAAAAAAGCCGGTTACAGAGGGAGCATGGTGTCACTGATGTGAAGTCCGTAAAATAGTGAAACTCACAGAAGCAGAGGGCAGAATGGTGGTAGCCGGGGGCTAAGGGATGGGGGAAATGGGAAATAATTATTCAATTGGTATCATATTCCAGCTGCACAAGATGAATATGCTCTGGAGATAGACAATATGGTGCCTGGAGTTAACAACACTGTGTTGTCCACTTAAAACTCTGAGTAAGACAGCAGATCTCGTATCAAGTGTTCTTATCACATAAAACAAACAAAGAGACACAAGGAAACTTTTGGAGATGATGGATATGGCGATGGTTTCACAGGCACTTTGGGGCATGTGACCAAACTTATCAAATTGTGTGCATTAAATATGTGCAGTGTTTTGTATATTAGCTATACCCCAATAAAACTAAGTAAAATTAAAAAGTCATTTATAATCTTTGCAGTCTAGGTAAGTCAACTATAATCTTTTCAAACCATAAAAAAGAAAAGAGTGGAGGGGTATAGCTCAGTGGTAGAGTGCATGCATGAGGTCCTGGGTTCAATCCCCAGTACCTCCATGAAAAAAAAAAACGTAAGATTGGATCTGACTGGATCATTTAGAGCCAACATTCAACTTTAAAAGCACATGAAGAGGATTAGGAGGCAGGAAAGAGTGGGATTAGGAGATTAAATATTTGCCTCGGTCTAATTGCTTCAAAGTTTCTAAATGTCCAATATCAATTTTCAGGTTATAAAATACTGAATTTTAACATTTATGTACTTTAAAATCACTTTTTTAGTGATTAATCCTAATTATCAGAGCCATGCAACGGAGACGGGTCTCACATCTCTCTCCTCCCTGGATAAAGCAGCACAGAGAAGTTCTGTTCTTGTTTTCGTTCCCCGACCAGTACCTGCTGGAGCAAAACCTAGACTCTGAACCGCAGGATCTAAACTCCAGTCCTTCTCAGTCGCTGGGAAGGCGGGACTCGGGGAAATCACTTTACTCTGTTGGATCTTAGTCACAGCTTCTGTAGAATGAAGGGATTTATTGTAAATGACCTCTTAATAGCCCTTTCTGCTGGACAAAAGGTCTGTGATGGGGGTCTTCCTCTACGGAACTAGAAGCCCCTGAGGGCAGGGGCTGCTCTTCACACACTTCTGTAGCCCCAGGTGCCAGGGAAGTTCCTGGCACACACTTGGGGGCGGGGGGCTCAATAAACGTTGGCTGAATTAAACTGAACTGAGTGTAATATATGAGGAAGCAGGACACGAGAATGAGCAAGTGACAAGAACGCAAGCAAGCTTTTCCCTCTCTCTGTGGAGGGAAGCTGGGAAGAGACTGTTTTGGGAACAGGTAAAGACGTGGACTGAAAAATGGAAGGGACATTCCACCAGCTGGGCAGTAGAGCCCCCGGGTGCACGAATGTTCGGGGAAGGTTATTGATTATGAAGTAAGAGAGTGCTAATAAATCACAAAGGATCAATTTAATCAAGACAGATGCATAAAGATAAGCCTTGATATTACAGTACTACATTAAAAATGAGTGGCAAAGCTCCCACATTGTTGCTTAGATTTTCAAAATGGAAATAACTATTTTTGACTAGGTAACGCACACACAGAAGATCAAATTTAAAAGATTTTTTGAAAGCTTTTATTAGAAATAGCTAGTTCATCTTTTTAGAGGCCATTAGCTATTTGAATAAAAAGTTCACTTCTTTTTCAGACAACCTGCCAAGTGGAAGCCCTGGGTGGACTGTCTGATCCTAGACCACCCGGGACTGCGGGCGAGACCCCTCACACAGCCGCTTAGCTGGACGGCAGGTGAAATGCTGGCATCTTGACACTGAGCCCGTGAGTAAGGTAAGGGCCACATTGTTATCCCACCTTAAGACAATCTGGACAGTTTACAGGGATGCTGGGAGAACCTAGTCTGGAAGGCCGGCCAGCCTCACTCTGCCCGTTCATCAGCTGCTGTATCTGTCTTCTCATCTTCCTGCCCCAGGGCAGTGTCTCTGAAAGGGAAACGCACTGCGGTCCTGGGGTCAGGACAGGCTCACCTGGGGCTCAGCGTTCCCCTGGCCGAGCCTCATGACAGTTTCAGGCTAGAGTCAGGTTCGCTTTGGAGAGGAGCCCATGGGGACCTTTGTTCCCAAACGGGTCACATTTCCTCGTGTTTATTGAATTCTCTCAATCACAAACTTCATCTCTGGGTCTCAGGAAGGGGGACTTGCTATAGAGAACCTGCCAAGTTGACCTTTATTTACTCTTGATAAAAGGATCAAAAAGGAAGTTAACGTTTCTGCCGTTCTCTTCTCAAAGCTATTGAAGGTATTCTGAAGTCTTGTCAAGATCACATGCTGAGGCTCTTCCCAAAGTGGTCACCATGAATTAACCTCCAGGTCTTTCGCCCTCCTCCCCCACGGCACAGAAGCCGGGGCGGGGGGGGGGGCATTTCTCTCCTCCCTGCGTGGGTGTAACGGCCAGCTCAGGACCCTGCTCCTATCCCCACCTCTCTCCCCACCTCAGGACCTCTGCCAGCTAGAGGGTTGGAGGAACCAAAGCTAAAACGCAGGTGTCCCCACACCTGTTCTGTCCAAATAAGACACTGTAAAGAGTTTGATGAGGCTGTACTTCTGGAGAAAGGCACCAGTCCCCTAGGAGGTTCAAGTTTACTTCCCTAACTTCTCTCTCCCTCCCTGACCCAACTGCCTCCGTGTACTGAATACACTGTCTTCACCCTCAGTGTTCCTCACTTGCTCCGATCACCATGCTTCTGGAACTCCTTTAAAGCAAGCTTGATAGCGCTGTCTCCAATGCCACACGGTCCTAACTTCCTCTCATTGATTAGAAGGCTTGGGAACGGGCAAGTGTGTTTTAGAAACTGTGCTGTGGGTGACTGTAGCACTGAGCAAGTTCACTTCGTTAATATTTAATGTTGAGCTGTTTTCTACTCTAGAGGTAGACTCGGGGAAGGGGCTGTGTGTGGCCGTGAACATGTCTTTTCATCACGACTCCATTTTTGCCAAGTGTCGCTGACCTACTTGGCTCCCCCCAACATCAGCCAGATAGAGAAGTGAAAAGAAGCAACAGCATGGGAGGACCATTGCTCCTCAGGTGGACACCGAAAGGAGGCGTTACTAAGTTATCCAGGCAGCCGCTCCCTTTGGAAAGCTTTGGGGATATGGACCCTGGCGATTTATTTGTTTATTACTGAAGTGCAGTTAGTTACAATGTGTCAGTTTCTGGTGTGCAGCATAATGTCCCAGTCATGCATATATATACATATATTCATTTTCATATTCTTTTTTATTAAAAGTTATTACAAGATATTGAATATATAGTTCCCTGTGCTATGCAGGACAAAAATTGTTTTTTAATCTATTTTTATATACAGTGATTATCATTTGCAAATCTCAAACTCCCAAATTTATCCCTTCCCACCCCTTGTGCCCTGGTAACCATAAGATTGTTTACTATATCTGCAAGTCTGTTTCTGTTCTGTAGATGAGTCCATTAGTGTCCTCTTTTTTCTTTTTTAGATTCCACATATGAGTGACATGATATGGTATTTTTCTTTCTCTTTCTGGCTTACTTCACTTAGAAGGACATTCTCCAAGTCCATCCATGTTGCTGCAAATGGCATTTTATTATTTTTATGGCTGAGTAGTATTCCTTTGTATAAATATACCACAGCTTCTTTACCCAGTCATCTGTTGATGGACATTTAGGTTGTTTCCATGTCTTGGGGGCTGAGCTTAGGAGGAGGGAGAGGAAGACAGGGAGATAAAGCAATTGATTATTCAAGGTCCTGTCAGTGTTGAGTGAGATTTCTTTTTTTTTCTTACAGACAATAAGAAGCCATTGCTAGTTCTTGTGTAGGAAAGAAAAACAATTTGTTTCTAGAATGCTTTGTCTGGCATCTGTGTACTGGCCACACGGGACAGCAGTGAGACCGGCGTGTCAGCACAATGTTAGGTCGGGCAGGAGAAGGCTCGGGGAACCAAAAAGTAGATCTAAATGTCATTTACTCTTATTTCTCACTTGCCTCGCGTATCCTTTAAAATGAAAGCTGCGGTGGATCTGTAGGTACTGTTGTGCTTGAAGATCAGGGGTAAGTCAGTTTCTCCTGGTCTCTGCAGGGAGACAGGATTTCTGGCTGATAGCTCAGATCAGTTTTATTAACCAAAAACTACCTTTCAGCTTGGCACCTCTTCAGCCAGGAACAAACATATTATTCACCCCGGACTGCCCTGAAAGGGGTAAGAGAAATGAATGTAATTTAAGGAGATGGTCTTAATTAAAGGCCCCACGTAGTAAATTTCAATACTTGCCTTGTTTTTGCTGGGGTTTTTATCCCCCCATTTTAATATACTCTTCCAAATCCTCTTATTAGTTGGAGAGTTTATCACATCTGGCTTTCACCTGGTAAATTTTTATTTAATCTGCAGCGGACGCTGTGTCCCGTTGACTGTAATTCAGGACGGGCATGTGCGCTGTATCCCAGCGCCAAAGTGCCGGAGGACGGCGGTTCTGCAGCGGTGAACGCAGCCTGCTGCCCGGTGAGTTCCTCAGGGTGACTGTGCGCTGCCCGGCATTTCAGGGCAGCCAGAGGGGCACGTGGGGTGGTTTCTTGCCTTTTTCCAGGGATACGTCATTTAAAGCCTACCTCGTCCAGGTAACTCCCCTCGAGTGGGCTTTTCCCCAGTCCACGTGTATATTTTCACTGTTAACCAAAGGTCGCACATTTCGTTGGCTGGCATTCCTGAGTGTGTGGGTGGAGGTGCGGTAGCAAGGAGGGAGTGCTGCCTGCAGTCAAACAGACCGAGCAAGAACCATCGCCCTGTTTCAGCGAACACGCCGCGCGGCTGTTAATTGCGCTGGGGTAGTGCGCACGCGCACGCATGTAACCTGATTTCGCCCTCAACGTTTCTCTCCCCCATAGCATCGTAGAATTCTGGAATGGGAAGGAATTTTATAGATGGTAAAGTTTATCCCCGTTATTCACAGACAAGTAAATTGAGACCTAGACAGGAAAGTGTCACGGATGCCAAAGGCCACAAGGCTAGTGAGGATGTGCAAGGATTATAATACAGACTAGACTCTGGTGTCTCTGAAAACCTCACCGCCTGAAAGTTGTCATACTTTATCATTAAGAAACATAGACCTGCAAGGCTGGCAACTTACAGCGTTAAAAAACAATCAACTTAAAGTCATTTCCATCGGTATGTCTTGAACTCAGGTTTCTGCACTGCCAGACCAGAACCATTCAGCTGTCCATGGTAGAGGTACTTGGGTGCTGTTTAGATGCCTGGGAATGCAGAGGTAGAATGAAAACAGTTAAAAAATTCTGAGTCCCGTTCTCTCAAGTCCTGACTCCTTCGAGCCCTGACCCCATCATCTGACTGCTGTCTGTATTTTTCTTAAACATGTTGAGAAACTGCAGAGAGATGGCTCCGAGAGAGCTGAGACCGCCCAACGAATTCCAATACAACACTTCCAATCACCATAGTTAATTACTTCAAATATGCAGCTTAAGTGTAGCCCATGAATCAGATCAGAACCAGTTCCTGGAAATCGGGCTTTGATAATGAGAACTCGGTGAGGCAAGAGTCACAGTGAGGGGGAAGCAGCCAGCGGGGTTCTAGTCCCTTGGTACCACATTGCCACAGCCAGGGTAAGCTGCAAGGGAAGTGGGTATCTGGGCCTACCACCTATGACCCTCTCACCGCAACACTGCCCAGCGACACCAAGCAGGAGCTGCGCAGGGCAGCTGGTCCTCCTCGGGTCCTCCTGCATCGGGTCCTCACCTGCCCTCCCTTGGCAGCACTCTGTAGGCTGAGACGTTCTTCCCTATCTACTCTCAGAACCTCTTCTTCCAGCTAAACTGGTCTGTTTTGAGTTCCAGCACCGTCTTCTGCTCCCCTTTGTGGTTATCAGGGGGGTCTTACCCATTTGGTCTATTTGAAGACATTAATGTTAATATGGAGAATTTATCATTTGCAGGATTTGCACCTCTACTAGTCAGCTAGGGCTTCCATAACAAATTACTACAGACAGGGTAGCTCAAACAAGAGAAATTTGTTTTTTCACAGTTCTGGATGCTGGAAGTCCAAGATCAAGGTGCTGGCAGGGTGGGTGTCTCCAGGGGCCTCTCGTTAGCTTGCAGAAGGTCACCTTCTTGCAGTGTCTTCACGTAGCTACATTTTCTCTGTGCACAGGCATCCCTGGAGTCTGTCTCTTCTTATAGAAGACGCCAATCATATTGGATTAGGGCCCCACTCCTTTGACTTCATTTAACTTAAATTACTGCCCTAAATCCCTCATCTCCAAATACAGTCATACTAGGGGTTAGGGCTTTAACGTGTGAGTTTGCAGGGACACAAGTGAGTCCATAACCGGACTGCAGGTGGGTCCTCTCTAATAAAGATACTTACAGGCGTGTCCCAGAGCAGTAAGTCTCCAGCTGCAGTAGTGGGAGCTCCTCCACAGGCAGACGAGGGAGGTGTTGTGGACAGAGACCCCTACTCCTCTCAACGCCGCTCCCAGGCTGCTTCCAAGTAAAGCTAGCTCTGGGTAACTAATTCCCGGTTCCCATGTGACGGATCAGTAGAGTGATAAAAATCTCCTGCCCAGGTGGCACTTTCAGTAGGTGCAGAGTTACCAAAGGGATGTGCTCGTCAGCCAGCCAGTTTCATTTTGTTTGATGACTTCATTGAAAAATTTAATTTTGGAAGATAGAAAGATGTATATGGGTGCCTACCTTATATACAAATAAGAAGGTGTGTGAGTTGGTATGTATGTATGTATGGAAATGTTTTCTTTCACTAGGAGCTTTGAGAAGGTTACAGAGAGATCACAGATTAGATCAGACGCTGGCGACCACAGTCAGGGGCTTCATTGTGCACCGTGAGGCCATCTCCTCTGCCACTGAGCCAGGCATCCCTGCAGAGACACTGATAATGGTGATAATATCTAACACTGAACCAGCGGTGACTTTAACCCACCTTCACCCAAACTCTGTGAAGATGCTGTTCTATTATCCCCATTTTATACAGTGGAAACTGAGGCGTAGTTTGCTCAAGGTCACAAAACTACTAAGTGGGGAAGGGATATCTGTCTGCTCGCAAAATCCAGATACACTTGAGGTCACTCTGAAGAGACACCTAGAAATGAAGAACAGTGTAGCAGACTCAGTGCTGTGGCGTTTGAAGGACTGAGGGGAGCAGTTGGAGGACAAGTTGCTGGAGAAACCCCCGTCACAGAGACGTTGCCCAAACCAAGCCTTGAAACGTAGGTAGACTTGAGAGAGGGACACAGGTGGGGAGAAGAGGGTCTATGGAACTGGCGGCAGAAATGGCAAATTAAGTGCAGGAAAGAGCAAGCAAATTGGCATGCCTTTATTTCAAGGTTTGGAAGAGAGATTGAAAAGAGAGGATGTGTTCGGATTTGTCAGAATTGACTCCATCTTGAAGGGTGAGTAGGATTTGAACTGGTATGTATTCACAGTCAGCAGTTCACCTGGATCTGAGAAGTGAGCTTCTGAGTCAACTGATAGGCATTGGTATATTGAAACTATTTTAATAGCAAATAGCCCCCAGCACGTCTGCTTACTGAAAAATAATAAATGCCAGGAAAGTAAACAAAAAACTCGGCATTTTTGCAGCTTCACTCTCTCTCAGGTGCAGATGGACTTGCATGGAATTGTTCTTCTTTACTTGAGGCCACAGTCCAAGAGAAAGTGTAAGTCACAGACCTAGGTCACTTTGAGTCAAAAAAAACAAAAAAACCTTTCTACACAATCAGTCATCTTATGTTCTCACCAAAAAACATGTCTAACATTGTCATTTCGACTCTGAGACTCCCATTACGCATGCGGAATTTACCTTGAAGTCATTTAACTCCCATCCACGAAATGTAGATGTATCTGAAGAATTCTTTTCAGTCCTCTTTCTTCATGGGTTTACATGACCAGTCACTTCAGTTATGTCACTGGATGTATCTGCAAGTTTCCAATCAAAGGCAGCTGCTTATATGCTTCTAGATCTTTTATACCCATCCCAATGGTCACATTGCCTTTTTCTTCTGCTCTAGACTTCTCTTCTCTTACAGGGTGAAGTATCAGGAGAGGATGGAGGACTTCAATGAGAACTTAAGAAATTGTTTCATGGAGGTGGTGTCAGAAGCATGAGGAGTAAGTTGCTGCTGGGGAGTGAGGGAGCACTACCATCATGGTATTGGACGTGGTGGGGGGTGTGGACGGCCGGGGGAGGGAAAGCTGGCTGGGAAATTTCTCAGAATTCCAGTCCCTCCAGTAAATCTTTCAGGGCTGAGTGCTTAGAGACGGGGAGGCTCTGCAACTTTACTAAGATGGAGTCATGTAAAAGCAGCACCTCCTTAACCCGTCATCCTATAAACCCAATTTATC